TATTTTTAGTAGAGATGAGGTTTCACCATATTGGCCAGGCTGCTCTAGAACTACTGACCTCATGATCCACCTGCCTTGGCCTCCCAAAGTGCTGGGATTACAGGCATAAGCCATTGTGCCCAGCCAAAATTAACTTTTTAATGATGTTAAGGAATAACATTTAGAATAGCTGCCATTCATAAACAACTGGATTTCTATATTGAGTTACTTATTTTCCTAAGGGTCTTCAGAATTGACCTTGATGTGCTTATAATTTTTTTTCTTTATTTATTTAATTTTTTTTGCACCTTCTGGCAGATGTGCTTATAATTTTTCAATTTGGAGAGTGCAAGTGATTCTGTATTTGAGTTGGTTCTTTCCTCTGACTTTGCAAATGTATATGCCAGAGGATTATGTCATTCAGCAAAAGGTAAGCTGGATATGAGGACCATTCATATCTGCCCATTTGTCTCCCCAGGTGCCTTAAATAGTCTGAAATCTTCATTGGAAATGAGCTTAATTCCATATGAAATTCAAGCCTTCATTCACCGTTATTCCATATATTAACGGAGACAAAGAGAAATATGTACGTAGGTAACTTGCCTTTTGTTAAGAGGGTTTTTTTTTTTTTTTTTTTTTAATGCCTTCCTCATATCATGCATTCACAAAAAAGTATTACTGCTTATGCCACTTTTGTTTTCTTTTATCATTGCATAGTGAGTCGAGGTGGTGGGAAAGTCCAAGTTCAAGGGCACTCTTAGGACTTTAAGTCATGGTGTTTGGATAGAGGAACAGAGTTCACAGGCAGCAATAATGAACATAATTGCGAAGTATAAGATGTTAAAGAGCTATTCTTCCTCTTAGCTAATACCAGGGAAATTAAAGTAAATGTGGATTAACAGGAGAGAATACACAATCATGTCCACTTTTATTTTATTTTTTAATTTTTCTTTGAGACAGAGTTTTGCTTTTGTTGCCTAGGCTGGAGTTCAATGGCACAATCTTGGCTCACTGCAACTTCTGTCTCCCAGGTTCAATCAATTCTCCTGCCTCAGTCTCCTGAGTAGCTGGGATTACAGGAGCCTTCCACTATGCCCAGCTAATTTTTTGTATTTTTAGTAGAGTCAGGGTTTCACCATGTTGGCCAGGCTGGTCTTGAGCTCCCGACTTCAGGTGATCCACCTGCCTCAACCTCTCAAAGTGTTGGGATTACAGGCGTGAGCCACTGTGCCTGGCCCATGGCCACTTTAAAAAAAGAAACTTGTATGTAAGTTGATTGGATGTCTATAAAGTTTTTCCCACTGGAAAATGGGGGTTTTGTTACTCTAACCTCAGGTCTAAGTAAAACATTATTAATTTAAGGCCCTAATTAATGATTCTCTGGTTCAGAAAATTGCTTTTTTAATTTTTTTTTTTGGAGAGGAAGTCTTGCTCTGTTGCCCAGGCTAGAGTGCAATTGCATGATCTCGGCTCACTGCAACCTCTGCCTCCTGGGTTTAAGTGATTCTACTGCTTCAGCCTCTTGACCAGCTGGGACTAAAGGCCGCCCGCCACCACACCCAGCTAATTTTTGTATTTTTAGTAAAGACAGGGTTCCGCCATATTGGCTAGGCTGGTCTCGAACTTCTGACGTCGTGATCTGGCCACCTCACCCTTCCAAAGTGCTGGGATTACAAGTGTGAGCCACTGCACCCGACCAGATATTTGCATTTATTTGCAGTTCTTTAAAAAACCAGTGCTAATTTTAGAATAGTATTGAAGTAGAAAGAAGGTATAAAAAATTGGAAAACGCTTGAACACAGATTGTAGTTTGAAATGTCCCTGTTAGCTAGTTCATGTATCTTTTGTCTTCTTTAAAAGAAAGTTGGGGGGGAGGGGGTTGTAACATTGTTCTGTTTCAGTAAAGTTTCAGGGCCAAGTGTGGTGGCTCAGGCCTGTATTTCCAGCATTTTGGGAAGCGGAGGCGGGTGGATCCCCTGAGGTCAGGAGTTAGAGACCAGCCTGGCCAACATTGTGAAACCCTGTCTCTACTAAAAACACAAAAATTAGCCGGGTATGGTGGTGGGTGCCTGTAATGTAATCCCAGCTACTTGGGAGGTTGAGGCAGGAAAATCGCTTGAACCTGGGAGGTGGAGGTTGCAGTGAGCTGAGATTGTGTCACTGCCCTCCACCCTGGATGACAGAGCAAGATTCTGTATTGGAAAAAAAAAAAAGGTTCAGATTGGTTATGTTATAGTGGAAGCCTTGGTTTACTAAAATATATGTTTAGCCCACCAGTGAGTATAATACTTTAATTTTTTAAAGAGGGTTCTAAGCATACCTTTATGAACAAGAGTGCAGAAAGTATAGGAGCTGAAAGAAAGTATCTTAAAAAATGGCATGTTGGCCGGACACCATGGCTCACACCAGTAATCCCAGCTCTTCGGTAGGCTGAGACGGGTGGATCACCTGAGGTCAGGAGTTTGAGACCAGCCTAGTGAAACCCTGTCTCTACTGAAAATACAAAAATTAGCTGGGTGTGGTGATACGCGTGCCGGTAGTCCCAGCTAGTTGGAAGGCTGAGGCAGGAGAATCTCTTGAACCTTGGAGGCGGAGGTTGTAGTGAGCTGAGAATGTGCCACTGGGCGACAGAATGAGACTGCCTCAAAAAACAAACAAACAAAAAAAACAAAACAAAAGACATGCAGGGGCTAGGCTCCGTGGCTCACGCCTGTAGGCTCTGTGGCTCAAGCCTGTAATCCCAGCACTTCAGGAGGCCAGGGTCTCTAACTCCTGACCTCAGGGGATCTGCCCTCCTCGGTTTCCTGAAGTGCTGGGATTACAGATGTGAGCCATGGAACCTAGCCACTGCATGTCTTTTTTTTTTTTTTTTGAGGTGGAATCTCACTCTGAAAGATTCTTTCAGTTCCTATACTTTCTACACTCTTGTTCATAAAGGTATGCTTAGCACCCTCTTAAAAAATTAAACTATATATTCTATCATGTGTACTAACCAGAGAAATTCAAAACAAGAAGAAACAAAAAGAAAAAAAGTATTACACTTATTGATGTGCTAAAAATATGTTTTAGTAAACCTAGGCTTCAACTGTAATACAACATAACCAATCTGAACTTTTTTTTTCCCCCTGGATACAGAATCTTGCTCTGTCACCCAGGCTGGAGTGCAGTGGCACAATCTCAGCTCACTGCAACCTCCACCTCCCAGGTTCAAGCGATTCTCCTGCCTCAGCCTCCCAAGTAGCTGAGATTATAGGCACCCGCCACCACGTCTGGCTAATTTTTGTGTGTTTAGTAGAGACCGGGTTTTGCAATGTTGGTCAGGCTGGTCTCTAACTCCTGACATCAGGGGATCAGCCTGCCTCGGTCTTCCGAAGTGCTGGGATTTCTGGTGTGAGCCACCACTCCTGGCCGAGGCCATGTTTTAAAATGAAATCTTGGGTTTTGTCTACTTTGACCTGTTGAGTACTATGGGAGTAAAAGACTAAAGAGTGAAGAATAGAACTTTATTAGGCAGCAATAAAACCTTGTGCGTAAAAAGTGGAGTCTTAGGATTGTCTACTAAATTCATCTTAGGACTGAATACAAAATTCAGTTATCAGTTATTTAGGAAGTCAAGTTTCAAATAAAATAAAGCCAATTTATGCATGTCTTACTTCAGTATTTCTCAAAGACCAGGATTTTTTTCTTCATTTCACTCTATCATAGATTGATACTTTAACATATACAATAAAATTGAATTGCTAGAATAAAGTAAAAAATTCAGACTTTGAAAATACAAGGCCACTGATAAAATAGAATTGTGGTTGTAGTTATATGAATATATACATTTAATAAAGTTGCATAGAACTATACACACATGGCCGGGCATGGTGGCTCACGCCTGCAATCCCAGCACTTTAGGCTGAGGCGGGCGGATCACGAAGTCAGTTGATGAAGACCATCCTGGCTAAAACAGTGAAACCCTGTCTACTAAAAATACAAAAAATTATCTGGACGTGGCGGTGGGTGGTTGTAATCCTAACTACTCAGGAGACTGAGGCAGGAGAATCGCTTGAACCCAGGAGGTGTAGGTTGCAGTGAGCTGAGATCACATCTGTGCATTCCAGCCTGGGCAATAGAGGGAAACTGTCTCAAAAAAAGAAATATACACACGCGCACACACCCAAATCAATATGAATGCAGGTTAAGATGAATGATGAAAACTGAGTAAAATCTACTGAGTTTCCTGGTTTTCTTTTTTCTTTTTCTTTTGGAGACATAGTCTTGCTCTGTCTCCCAGGCTGGAGTGTAGTGGTGCCATCTTGGCTCACTGTGACCTCCACCTCCAGGGTTCAAGCGATTCTCCTGCCTTAGCCTGCTGAGTAGCTGGGATTGTAATCCCATTGTGGGCATGCACCACCATGTCTGGCTAATTTTTGTATTTTTAGTAGAGACAGGGTTTCGCCATGTTGGCCAGGCTGGTCTTGAACTCCTGACCTCAGGTGATCTGCTCCCCTTGGCCTCCCAAAGTGCTGGGATTACAGGCGTGAGCTACCATGCCAAACCATTTTCTGGTTTTCATACTGCACTAGAGCTATATAAAATGTCACTCACTACTGGGGGGAGATGGGTATAGGGTACAAGAGACTCTCTTTGTTTTTGTTTTTGAGACAAGTCTCACTCCATTGTGTGAGGCTGGAGTGTAGTGATGTGATCTCAGGTCATTGCAGCCTCTGCCTCCGTGGTTCAGGCGATTCTCCTGTGTCAGCCTCTCAAGTAGCTGGGATTACAGATGCCTTCCACCATGCCCAGCTGAGTTTTGTATTTTCATTTTTATTTTTTATATTTTGGTAGATACGGGGTTTTACCATGTTGGCCACGTTGGTCTCAAACTCCTGACCTCAAATGATCCACCTGTCTTGGCCTCCCCAAGTGCTAGGATTACAGGTGTGAGCCACCGCGCCCAGCCCAATTTTTATATTTTTATTTGAGACAGGGTTTTACCGTGTTGGCCAGGCTGGTTTCGAACTGCTTACCTCAAGTGATCTGCCTACCTCAGCCTCCCAAAGTGCTGGGATTACAGGTGTGAGCCACTGCGCCCAGCCACAAGGGACTCTGTATACCATTTTTGTAACTTCCTCTGACTATAATTATTTTCTAATAAAAAATTTAAAAAATACAAGCCTACTGATGACTGGTCAAGGTGAAATTGCTGTAAAATTTCTAACCTTTTATTCTCAATTTTTGTACATGTGAATAAATAACAAATTCTTAGTCAGCTGGCACTGGCCTGAAGACCATAGTTACATCTTAACTTCCCTTTCCTCTTCCCTTTGTGACTACTCCGTATCATTGCCACTCTCATCCTCTTTACCCTCTCCACTGCTGTATTCCCCTTTTGTTCAAAATTATTTACTGTGTAGTTAATTAGTGCCAAGACCCTGAGAATATAAAAATGAGCAAGGCTTTGGCTGTGGTGGAGCCTATTTTCTAATATTGGAGACTTTTGTTAACCAAAGAATCTTACAAATATGTAGTTCAGGCTGGGCATGGTGACTCACACCTGTAATCCCAGCACTTTGGGAGGCCAAGGCGGGTGGATCCACAAGGTCAGGAGTTCAAGATCAGCCTGACCAACATGGCGAAAAAACCCCGTCTCTTCTAAAAACACACACAAAAAATTAGCCAGGTGTGGTGACGAGTGCCTGTAATCTCAGCTACTTGGGAGGCTTAAGGCAGGAGAATTGCTTGAACCCAGGAGGCAGAAGTTGCAATGAGCCAAGATTATGCCACTGCACTCCAGCCTGGGCAACAGAGTCAGACTGTGTCTCAATAAAAACAAAAAACAAATATGTAATTCAAATTGCTTACAGCTCACATTTATTAACTCCTTTCCAGGCATTATATAAAGGATTTTTTTTTTTTTTTTTTTTGGGTGGGGGAGACAGGGTCTCACTTTGTCACCTAGACTGGAGTGCAGTGGTGGGAACCTGGCTCACTGGAACCTTGATCTCCTGGACTCTCAAGTGATCCTCCTGCCTCAGCCTCCCAAGCGCAAGCAGCTGGGACCACAGGCACATGCCACTATACCTGGATAATTTTTAAAATTCATTGTATAGACAAGGTCTCTCCATATTGCCCAGGTTGGTCTTGAACTCCTGGCTTCAAGCAGTCCTCTCACCTTGGCCTCCCGCAGTGCTGGGATTACAGGCATGCGCCATCATGCCTGGTTTATATGAAGGATTTTTTTTTTTTTTTTTTGAGACCCAGGCTGGAGTGCAGTGGCACAATCTCAGCTCACTCCAACCTCTGCCTCCCAGGTTCAAGTGATTCTTCTGCCTCAGCCTCCCAAGTAACTGGGATTACAGGTGCCCGCCACCACACCCAACTAATTTTTATATTTTTAGTAGAGATGGGGTTTTGCCATGTTGGCCAGGCTGGTCTCGAAATTCTGACCTCAGGTGATCCTTAGCCTCTGAAAGTGCTGGAATTACAGGTGTGAGGCACCGCGGCTGGCTATATGAAGGATTTTAAATAGACATTCATTCTCTTTTTAAAGTGAATTTAGTACTATTTTTAGTTTTATAGATAGCTTCTTTGGCCTTCATTTCTTTTAGTAACTTAGGTTAACGTATTTTGGAGATAAGAGCAATTTGGACATGCCTTCTGGGCAGAGGCACTAGAAGGACTATAGCAGACAATTTAGGCTCTATAGTTGTTTTTTGAGACAGAGTCTCACTCTGTTACCCAGGTTGAAGTACAGTTGCGCCATCATAGCTCACTGCAGCCTTGGACTCTTGGGCTCAACTGATCCACCTGCCTCAGCGTCTTAAGTATCTGGGACTATAGATGTGAGCCACTACACCCAGCTAATTTTTTATTTTTTGTAGAGATGAGCCTTGCTGTGTTGCCCAGGTCAATCTCAAACTCCTGGCCTTACGCAGTCCTTCTGCCTGTGCCTCCCAAAGTTCTGAGACTACAGGCATGAGCCACCACACCTGTTTGGCTGTATGGTTGTTCTTTTTAGGTTGTGTAGTTCTTAAACTGTATACAGGCCTCAGCAGAATCCAAAAATGTGAAATCTGAAATATTCCGAAAGTTGAAACTTTTTTGATGCTAACATGATGCCTCAGTGGGAAATTTTACACACGACCTTATGTGAGAGGTTGCAGTCAAAACACAGGCAAGCTGGGTGTGGTGGCATGTGCCTGTAGTCCCAGCTACTCAGGAGCCCAAGGTAGGAGGATCACTTGAGTCTAGGAGTTTAAGGCTGCAGATAGCAATTCTAATATGCAAAGTTATGTTCAAAAATACTCTTATTTTTTTGTTTACATTAAGAGCACAAAAGATAATTTTTGCAGGGAATGAAAATTTAGCACCATAGTGCCTTATTCTAAAAGATTGCTAGTAGGTGGAAAGTGGACTTAAATATTCAGAATATTAGTATTTTTGAACACAGAACAATTTTATATCTACTTTTGGTAAGGTTTTTTCCCAAGTGAAATTTCTTTCTTTTTTTTTGAGACAGGGTCTTGCTCTGTTGCTTAGGGTGGAGTACAGTGGTGAGATCTTAGCTCACTGCATCCCTGATGTCCCGGGCTTAAGCGGTGGTCCTACCTCAGCCAGCTGAGTAGCTGGGACTACAGGCATGCACCACCACACCTGCCAAATTTTTAAATTTTTTGTAGAAATGGATCTCACTATGTTGCCCAGACTGGTCTTGAGCTCCTGGGCTCAATCGATCCTCCTGTATGAACCACCCAAAGTGCTGGGATTATAGGCATGAGCCACTATGCCCAGCCCCAACTTTCATTTTTCCATTTTGAAAATATAAGCCAATGAGCTGGGTGCAGTGACTCACGCCTGTAATTCCAGCGCTTTGGGTGGCCGAGGTCGGCGGATCACCTGAGGTCAGGAGTTTGAGACCAGCCTGGCCAACATGGTGAAACCCCATCTCTGTTACAAATACAAAAATTAGGACGGGTGTGGTGGCTTACGCCTATAGTCCCAGCTCCAGACCTCAAATGATCTGCCCAGCTCAGCCTCTCAAAGTGCGTAAGCCACCATGCACGACCATAATCACATATATTTTTCATCAGTGTTTTAATTCACTTGTCTTCATGTGTCCTAGTTCTTAGATGAGATTTGCGGCAAATGTCATAAATTTTATGGCCTATATATCTTGCTCTTTCTACATGTCAGTTTTGAGATGTTTCCCTCTTTTCCTTTTAGAATTGCTTGAGGTGAAGAAGCTAAAAACTAGTACTGTTGTTAAGGAGTTTATTTGATTCAAAAAGTAATGAGAACGTATTATAGGAATGGGAATGTTAGGCCCAGGAGAGATTATATAATGAGGACAAGATGTTACCTTTGTCTCTTGGTAATTTAAACTCTATATCGGGAGACAAGAACAATAAATGCAAGTCAATGCTGTATATGATTGTCAGATTGTAAAGTATATGCTATAGGAATTAAATTTAGTAGTGATATCTGGAAAGGTAAGAAAAGGATAGGAAGAGGTATAATAGTGCTGAGTACCTAGTAGACATTCAAATAATTGTCAAAGGAAGGAAAGGCTTTAGTGGTCTCTGAGTGGCTTAAGGTAGATATGGGGGTGATGTGATATGTGTTTGGTGTGGAGTCTGAGAGGGAGGAAGGTGGTGGAACAAGAGCAATATGAAAAATAATTTGATAGCTTGGGCAAGATAAGGGAGCTCTCTATAAAAAGTTAAAAATTAGCTGGCTGAGGAGACTTGGGTGGGAGAACCGCTTGAACCCAGGAGTTCGAGGCTGCAGTGAGCTATGATTGTGCCACTGCGCTCTTGCCTAGACTCTGTGTGACAGAGCAAGACCCTGTCAAAAAAAGAAAGATTTTGAACAAGACTGATCTAGCTTTGAACTTAGAGGAGACCACCATAGCTATTGAGATTCCCTCTGGGAAGTAGTGTAAAGCAGGCTTAACTAGGTAGGAAAATGATAATCCCAGCACTTTGGGAGGCTGAGGGGGGGCGGATCACTTGAGCAGGAGTTTGTGACCAGCCTGGCCAACATGGTGAAACACCCCATCTCTACTAAAAATACAAAAATTAGCTGGGCATGGTGGCACATGCCTGTAATCCCAGCTACTCAGGAGGCTGAGGCAGGAGAATCACTTGAACCTGCAAGGCAGATGTTGCAGTGAGCCGAGATTGTGCCACTGTACTCCAGCCTGGGCGACTGAGTGAGACTTGGTTTCAAAAAAAGAAAGTGATAATGCTGTAATCCCAGCACTTTGGGAGATCAAGGCAGGTGGATCACCTAAGGTCAGGAGTTCGAGACCAGTTTGGCTAATATGGTGAAACCCCATCTCTACTTAAAAAAAAAAATTAAAACAATTAGCTGGGTGTGGTGGTGAGTGCCTGTAATCCCAGTTACTTGGGAGGCTGAGGCAGGAGAATTGCTTGAACCTGGGAGGCAGAGGTTGCAGTGAGCCAAGATCGCACTATTGCACTCCAGTCTGAGTGATAGCGAGACTCTGTCTCAAAAAAAAAAAAAAAAAAAAAAAGATGTCAGATATTTATTGAGCGCTCCCTATCTTCTAAGTAGTGTTTTTGGCAGTAAAATGCAGCTATAAACAAGATAAAATCAAATCTCTGTCCTAAAGAAGGTTGTATTCTGGTGTGAGAAAATGGGTATTACATAAAATATTTATAAATAAAACATAAACAGCCAACCCTTACATTAATAAATGTTAGGAATAAAGTAAGGTACTATAATATAGAATGATGGGAGAATCTCAAAGGAAATAATACTTGAGATGTTATCTTTTTTAAAAAATTAGAGTCAGGGAGTACATGTCCATGTCTGTTACATGGGTATGTTGCATACTGGTAGGGATTAGGCTTCTAGTGGGCCCATTAACCAAATAGTAGTGAACATTGTAGTCATTAGGTAATCTCTCTCTCTCTCTCTTTTTTTTTTTTTAGGTTTTTAGATGGAGTCTCGCTCTATTGCCCAGGCTGGAATGCAGTGGCACCATCTGGGCTCACTGCAAACTCTTCCTCCGGGTTCAAGTGATTCTCTAAGTAGCTGGGATTACAGGCACCTACCACCATATCAAGCTAATTTTTGTATTTTTGGCAGAGACAGGGTTTTGGCATGTTGGCCAGGCTGGTCTTGAACTCCTGACCTCAGGTGATCCACCCATCTTGGCCTCCCAAAGTGCTGGGATTACAAGCGTGAGCCATGGCGTCTGGCCCCCATTAGGTAATTTTTCAACCCACTGCCCCATCTTTTGGAGCCCCAAGTGTTAATTATTTCCTTCTTTTGTCCCTATGTACTCATTATTTAGCTCCCACTTACAAGTGAGAATATGTAGTATTTAGTTTCTGTTTCTGAGTTAGTTCACTAAGGGTAATGGCCTCCAGCGCTATGTTGCTGCAAAGGACATGATTTCATTCATTTTTATGGCTATGTGAGGTGTCATTTTATTATTGAGAAGCAGCAGTGTGGTGAAAATCTGGAGGGAATAATATTCCGAGAAGGAACAGCAGGTGAAAAGGCTGAGCCAGAAATTAACTTGGAATGTTTCAGGGACAGAGAGAAGGCTAATGGTAAAACCTAGAGAATGAGGAGGAGGGGCTATGGTAAGATGTAAGGTCAGAAGGAGGATAAGGAGGTATGTGGAGTAGGCTGTGAGTGAAGAGAGAAAAATAAAGGACAAGTGAGGTTTTCATCTGAGCAATTGGGTAGATGGTAGTATTACTGTCATAGGAATGACTTGGGGGAGGACTGTATTTGGTATATGGGTTAGTATCAGTTCAATTTTGACCGTGTTATATTTGATATAAATAGTAAGTATCCAAGTAGCACCTAAAAAGGAAGACCCTATTAGCTGGATGGATGGGAAGAGCCAACCAATGAGATCAAGGAGGAGTAGCAGTGAGGACAGGAGGAAAAATTGAAGAATGTGATCTGTGAAAGCCTAGGAAACAAATTATCACTAGCTTTAAGATGCTGGTCACTAGTAACTTATTAAAAGCTGTTTGGCTAATGGAAATGAATAGAGAGGAGCAAGAGACTGATAGAGGAGAGGAAATAAATAGAAATAAATTTAAAAAAGGAAAGAGGGTAGGACACTGAGCAAAGTGATGGGATCATCAGTTGAGCCTGGTCATGGAGATCATGGTGATACAGATTTGGGGTAGGGGAATGTGTGAAATAGGCACTGGGAGAGTAAGGGAACTGAGTGGCACAAGTCATAGTAAATGGCAGGGACAGGATTCTGACCTAGGTATCAAAGTTTGATTTTTTTTCTGAATTAAATTGCCACCCTAGGCCAGGCATGGTGGCTCATGCCTGTAATCCCACTTGGGAGGCTGAGGTGGGCGGATTGCTTGAGCTCAGGAGTTCTGAGACCAGCCTGGGCAACATGGCGAAACCCTGTCTCTTCAAAAAATACAAAAATTAGCTGGACGTAGGTGGTGCGTGCCTGTAGTCCCAGCTACTCAGGAGGCTCCGGTGGGAGGACAGGTTGAGCCCAGGAGGCAGAGGTTGCAGTGAGCCAAGATTGTGCCATTGCATTCCAGCCTGAGTGAGAGCCAGGTCGTGTCTCAAATTTAAAAAGCCACCCTAACAAGCAAAGTAATAAATACTAAAGGTGTGTTTTTATAAAGAATCAGAAAAATTGAGACCAGGTGAGCCCGAAAGTGAAGCTTAAAAGAAAGCACCTTACTAGCTTTTCTACTCATGGCAATTATTATTTGTTACCTTGTATTATAGTTATTTGGTGTACCTCTGTGCCGTGTTACTTCAAGTAAGTAAAAAATTCCTGGTGGGGTAGAGACCGTGAACTGACATTTTGCCTTTATAGACTTAGCACTGCTTTTACAAGTTGGATCCTTTAATAATTATTGAACAAATACCTGTGATTGATATGAGAACTGATATTTATAGTTAGTGTTGCCTTTCTAAAATGTCATTGAGGCCGGGTGCAGTAGCTAACACTTGGGAAGCCAATGTGGGTTGATCACTAGAGGTCAGGAGTTCGAGACCAGCCTGGCCAACATCGTGAACTTCTGTCTCTACTAAAAATACAAAAATCAGCCAGGTGTGGTGGCACATGCCTGTAATCCCAGCAACTCTGGTTGCTGAGGCAGGAGAATCCCTTGAACTCGGGAGGCAGAAGTTGTAGTGAGCCAAGATTGTGCCACTGCCCTCTATTCTGGGCAACAGAGTGAGACTCTGTCTCAAAAAAAGAAAAAAAAAAAGCAAAAAACAAAAAAACCAAGTCATTGAGCAGTCCATCAGCATGGTTGTGTGCTAGCTACTGAGATATGTTCTGATGTAGTTTTCACATTTGCCATAAGCCCAGCTTACTCTTGGCAGTTAGCTAGGACACCCATTCCCAACCAAAACTCTAGCCTACAGCAGGATTGGGTCAGTGTGTTTAGAAGAGGTTTGCAAATGTGTATGACCATAGTCCAAGCAGAGAGCTAAGTAGAAGTGACCTTTTGTGATAAAAATTTTAATTTCAAAGACTCCTGCCTAATACATATTTCTAGATCATTGAAGATCGGATAAGACATGAGGTATAGCATAGTATGGGGCAGCAGGAGCAGTGAAATTCCACTTGTTTCCTAGTAGTGAAGATAATTACTTAGTAATTGAGAATAGTTCCTTGCCAATATTTGTTTCTGTCTTGCTTTGAGCAGGGGCCAAGAAGTACCTTTTTTCTAGAGAGCTAAGGGTATTGCTGTCCTACCTCTGGGCTAGGATATGTTAAAAGAAATGTTATGAAATACTCTGGTTTATAATTGGTGGCTTCCTTTCCTTTTTATTAGTTTTCCTGTCTTTGAGTTTTCTTTTCACAATATCCCTACCCCTGTGATCTCATACTCCAGAGTCTAGTTTTTATGTAGCGTATTTTTATCAGTGCTTACCAGAATATGAATTTAGGAGGATTTGAGGTAATATTTCTCCAACTGAGGCTCTAGGATTTCCAAGGGTCCACATATTCTTATTTTTGAGATAGGGTCTCGCTCTGTCGCCCAGATTGAAGTGCAGTGGCGTGATCTCGGCTTACTGCAACCTCTGCCTCCCGGGTTCAAGTGATTCTCGTGCCTTATCCTCCTGAGTAGCTGGGATTATAGGCATGTGCCACCATGCCTGGCTAATTTTTGTATTTTTAGATGGGGTTTTGCCATGTAGCCCAGGTTGGTCTCAAACTCCTCCCAAAGTGCTGGGATTATAGGCGTGAACCACCACGCCTGGCCCACATATTCTTAAGGGTTGGGGATTCTGTGAGAAGTTTTAAAAGCTTTTCATATTTGATTATCTTTAAGTTTAAAAAATAATTACAGAATGTTTTGAAAAATACAGAGATTTCCACTGGGTGTAGTGGCTCATGCCTGTAATTCTAGCACTTTGGGAGTCTAAGGCGGGAGGATCCCTTGAGCTCAGGAGTTTGAGACTAACCTGGGCTACATAGACCCCTGTCTCTACAAAAATATATATTAAAAAATTTTTTTTGTAAAGCACAGAGATTTCCTATGTACCCTAGATTCCCTAGATAAGAACATTTTACCACATTTGTTTTGGCATTCTCTCTTTGTATACATAACATCCACATCATTACTTTTTTTCTGGAATGCTGAAAATTTGCAGACACAATGCCTCTTAACTCCTATATCTTCAAATGTGTATTTCCTAAAAACAAGGATACAATGATCCAATTCAGAAAAAAAATTTTTTTTGTAGGTCATTAATTTTGTTTATTTATTTATTTTAAAATAGTTAACAAGTATTTATTATTTTTTTAAAAATTTTTTTTCCCATTTTATTGCATTTTGGGTTTGGGGGTACATGTGAAGAACATGCAAGATTGTTGCATAGGTACACACGTGGCAGTGTGATTTGCTGCCTTCCTCCCCATCACCTACACCTGGCACCTCTCCCCTTGTTATCTCTCCCCAGCTCCCCACCCCCCACTGTCCCTCCCCTATTCCCCCCAACTGACCCCAGTGTGTAGTGCTCCCCTCCCTGTGTCCATGTGTTCTCATTGTTCAACACCCGCCTATAAGTGAGAACATGCGGTGTTTGATCTTCTGCTCTTATGTCAGTTTGCTGAGAATGATGGTTTCCAGGTTCATCCATGTCCCTACAAAGGACACAAACTCATCGTTTTTGATGGCTGCATAATAATTCCATGGTGTATATGTGCCACATTTTCCCTGTCCAGTCTATCATTAATGGGCATTTGGGTTGGTTCCAGGTCTTTGCTATTATAAACAGTGCTGCAATAAACATTCATGTGCACGAGTCCTTATAGTAAAACGATTTATAATCCTTTGGATATATACCCAGTAATGGGATTGCTGGGTCAAATGGAAGTTCTATTTCTAGGTCCTTGAGGAATCGCCACACTGTCTTCCACAATGGTTGAACTAATTTACACTCCCACCAACAGTGTAAAAGTGTTCCTATTTCTCCACATCCTCTCCAGCATCTGTTGTCTCCAGATTTTTTAATGATTGCCATTCTAACTGGCGTGAGGTGGTATCTCAATGTAGTTTTGATTTGCATTTCTCTGATGACCAGTGATGATGAGCATTTTTTCTTATGTTTATTGGCCTCATGAATGTCTTCTTTTGTGAAGTATCTGTTCATATCCTTTGCCCACTTTTGAATGGGCTTGTTAGTTTTTTTCTTGTAAATCTGTTTTAGTACTTTGTAAATTCTGGATATCAGCCCTTTGTCAGATGGGTAAACTGCAAAAATTTTTTCCCATTCTGTTGGTTGCCGATTCACTCTAATGAGTGTTTCTTTTGCTGCGCAGAAGCTGTGGAGTTTGATTAGGTCCCATTCATCTATTTTGGCTTTTGTCGTCAATGCTTTTGGTGTTTTGGTCATGAAGTCCTTGCCTACGCCTATGTCCTGAATGGTTTTGCCTAGATTTTCTTCTAGGGTTTTTATGGTGTTAGGTCTTATGTTTAAGTCTTTAATCCATCTGGAGTTAATTTTAGTGTAAGGTGTCAGGAAGGGGTCCAGTTTCTGCTTTCTGCACATGGCTAGCCAGTTTTCCCAACACCATTTATTAAACCGGGAATCCTTTCCCTATTGCTTATTTTTGTCTGGTTTGTCAAAGATCAGATGGTTGTAGATATGTTGTGTTGCGTCCGAGACCTCTGTTCTGTTCCATTGGTCTATATCTCTGTTTTGGTACTAGTACCATGCTGTTTTGATTACTGTAGCCTTGTAGTATAGTTTGAAGTCCGGTAGTGTGATACCTCCCGCTTTGTTCTTTTTGCTTAGAATTGACTTGGCTATGCGGGCTCTCTTTTGGTTCCATATGAAGTTTAAGGTGGTTTTTTCCAGTTCTGTGAAGAAGGTCATTGGTAGCTTGATGGGGATAGCATTGAATCTGTAAATTACTTTGGGCAGTATGGCCATTTTCACGATATTGATTCTTCCTAACCATGAACATGGAATGTTTCTCCACCTGTTTTTGTCCTCTCTTATTTCATTGAGCAGTGGCTTGTAATTCTCCTTGAAGAGGTCCTTTACATTCCTTGTTAGTTGTATTCCTAGGTATTTTATTCTCTTTGTGGCAATTGTGAATGGAAGTTTGTTCTTGATTTGGCTCTCTTTAAGTCTGTTATTGGTGTATAGGAATGCATGTGATTTTTGCACATTGATTTTGTATCCTGAGACTTTGCTGAAGTTGCTTATCAGTTTCAGGAGATTTGGGGCTGAAACTATGGGGTCTTCTAGATATACAATCATGTCGTCTGCAAATAGAGACAATTTGACTTCCTCCTTTCCTATTTGAATGCCTTTTATTTCTTTTTCTTGCCTGATTGCTCTGGCTAGAATTTCTAGTACTATATTGAATAGGAGTGGTGAGAGAGGGCATCCTTGTCTAGTGCCAGATTTCAAGGGGAATGCTTCCAGTTTTTGTCCATTCAGGATGATATTGGCTGTTGGTTTGTCGTAAATAGCTTTCATTATTTTGAGATACGTTCCATCAATACCTAGCTTATTGAGGGTTTTTTAGCATAAAGCGCTGTTGAATTTTGTCAAAGGCCTTCTCTGCATCAATTGAGATAATCATGTGGTTTTTGTCTTTGGTTCTGTTTATGTGGTGAATTAGGTTTATAGACTTGCGTATGTGGAACCAGCCTTGCATCCCCGGGATGAAGCCTACTTGGTCATGGTGGATAAGCTTTTTGATGTGCTGTTGCAGTCGGCTTGTCAGCATTTTATTGAAGGTTTTTGCATCTATGTTCATCATGGATATTGGCCTGAAGTTTTCTTTTCTTGTTGAGTCTCTGCCGGGTTTTGGAATCAGGATGATGTTGGTCTCATAAAATGATTTGGGAAGAGTTCCCTCTTTTTGTATTGTTTGGAATAGTTTTAGAAGGAATGGTACCAGCTCCTCTTTGTATGTCTGGTAGAATTCGGCTGTGAACCCGTCTGGACCTGGGCTTTTTTTGGGTGGTAAGCTCTTAATTGCTGCCTCAACTTCAGACCTTGTTATGGGTGTGTTCAGGGTTTCGGCTTCTTCCTGGTTTAGGCTTGGGAGGAGGCAAGTGTCCAGGAATTTATCCATTTCTTCCAGGTTTACTAGTTTATGTGCATAGAGTTGTTTGTAATAATCTCTGATGATGGCTTGAATTTCTGTGGAATCTGTGGTGATATCCCAATTCAGAAAATTATCATTGATACAATATTATTTTCTAATCCATAGACCTTAAAAATTATTTTGATGAGTTGTAAGTTTAAAATTCTCGGCAATGACAATTTTCAAATGAAATAAATTTTAATAGACTAATTTTTGTTTTCTGTCAGTATTCTTGAACTGTGATCTATTCTTACAGGTCTGATAGTTTTTTTCTTCAAATGAGGCCTATACTTAAGTATAAGAAACGCTGTATTTGAGTTTTAGTAAGAAATCTTTAGGTAGGAGTGAATTTTTGAAGTCTTTGCTTATTAAAATCAAGATGAAGTAAAAAGCTATTTCAGATTTGTAATTAGGAAATTCAATGGAAGGTCTTGAGTGAGACCTAGCACCTCACTTTTAGCTGTCTACCTTGAGATTATGAATTCTCTGTCTTATCTTAGTTAAGTTCTCATCCAGATTCTTAAACATTTTTGATGATAAGGAAACTTAAGTATCCTATACACATCTAGTTTTGTTTTTGTTTGAGACAGGGTCTCCTTCTATCTTCCAGGCTGGAGTTCAGTGGCATAATCTCTGCTCATTGTAACTCCCACCTCCTGAAGCAGGATCCTCCTGCTTCAGGCTCCCAAGTGGCTTACACTACAGGCATGTACCACCACACCTTGCTAGTTTCTGTAGTTTTGTAGTAGACTCTGTCTCACAAAAAAAAAAAAAAAAAAAAAAAGCCTGGTGCAGTGCCTCACACAGGAGGCCTAGGCAGAGAGATCACTTGAGTTTGGGAGGACAAGGTAGCAGTGAGCCAAGATTGTGCCACTGGAAAGATAGAATGAGACCCTGTCTCAAAAAAAAAAAAAAAGTGTATGTTCATATATGCACACAAAATTTTTGAATTAAGAATATGCAAACTAGGCTGGACATAGTGGCTCACGCCTATAATCCCAGCACTTTGGGAGGCTGAGGCGGGCAGATCACGAGGTCAGGAGTTCAAGATCAGCCTGGCGAAACACTGTCTTCTACTGAAAATACAAAAATTAGACGGGCATGGTGGCTTGTGCTTGTAGTCCCAGCTACTCGGGAGGCTGAGGCAGGAGAATCACTTGAACTCGGGAGATGGAGGTTGCAGTGAGCCAGGTTATCGCCACTGCACTCTAGCCCGGATGACAGAGTGAGACTCTGTCTCTAAATAAATAAATAAACAAATAAATAAATAAAAGAATATGCAAACTTAAGAGTAGTTGCTCTGAGGAGAGAGACCTATTTTTAGTTGTATATCTCGTTGTATTATAAAATTTCCTCCAGCTACATATAGTACTTTTTAAATAAAGAAAATTAATCTAAAATGTACTAAAAATGAGCTAAAAACTGTCGTTCTGTAACTTCTATTTGTTGGTCACAGTTCCAACTTTCAGAATTGCACAAAATAAGATTATTTCCTCTTATCAGCTTTCTGATATTTTGAAATAAACCACTATGGTCCTGTAAACCTTTTTTAAACCTTTTTTTCTTCTAGGGTAGTGCTTCCATTTAGCTTTAACCATTTCTTGTGTTACAATATCCAGAACAGATATCTTTACTATCCAACTTGTTTATATTTATTTATACGTTTGATATGGCCAAATTGCTCTGGAAATCTTCTAATGTTCTATCTTGAGAGATTGGTTGGTTGTTTTTTTTTAAAGATATGTTGTTCTTTGGTTCCTTGAGCCTGCCATAACTAAAACTCTTAACTCTTTTTC